TCTTTTCAAATTAGCAAAATGGTATTGTTATAATTTGCTGTGTTTATTAAATTTATGGCTTTTTCAGTTATCTTGTGATTTAACAAAATTGTATTATTCCAATTTGCATTTGTTTTTATATCTATGGCTTTTGCTGATATAAAATGCAATAATAATTAGCTCATCACATATTTTAGTGTTTATATATGTCTGTTTTGATTGCTATATGATTTTCCATATAGATTGTTGGCCCCCCTTGTTTTTAGGTGATTATGATTTTCCACTGTTATAATTTTTTATACATGGTCAAGATTGTGCACTCGAACCCACAATGCTTGAACGGGAACAATTATTCAGTACGATTATGGGGGAAGACTCCAACTTTGCGAATGATTGTGAAAATACCCACAATGGAGATGATGTTAGTGAGGCTGTCACACCAGTTTTTGAGGAAACTGCAATGGATAAAGATGAAATGAATGAAACGAGAGTGGATAAAATAACAAATGTGGTTCACAAAATCACTTTTTCTTCTGTCAAAACTTGTGACAGACCATGTCAAGTGGTGGAGTATGATGAAAGTTCTGCTAAACATCAATTATGGGAAGCTGCCTTGAAGAAATATATATTATCATTGGAGATAAAAAATACACGTTTAAGCAAGGCGAACTCAGAATTGAATAAATAACTTGAAGTTCAATCGAAAGAGTGCACAACTTCGGATTCCATTAATGCATGCCTCAAGCAAAAATTAAAATCTGCTGAAGCAAGAGTTGTGGAACTAAGCACCGTCATCAAAAAATAAAACGTGACATTGCAGACAGTGTGGAAGAAAGGCATGCCTTGAATGCTAGTATGACTGAAATGGAAGGCCTGATCAACACACATTAAGTGAGGATCTTACAAGACAACAGGAATTGCCACATACTTCCAAACATAAACATTCTACCGACTATTCAATGCAAAATGAAATAGAGTCTCTGAAAGCAAGAATAAAGGCGTTAACCAACGAGCTTGAATCTTCCACCAAAACAGAGAAAGAACTAAGGGAAGAAGTACAAAAGTCAAACGCAAATAACATTGGTGCAATAGTACATACACAAGTTATGGATGGTGTGGCTTTGTTGGGTGTCGACCAACCTTCTTTCAGTCTCAATCTGACGCAACAAATGACCCAAGACGACTTTGGTACTTTATCGGCTACTGATCTAGAGTTAATTGATTTACAAGCTCACATCAAACAACTTCAACCAGAGAATAAAAGCCTAGAACAACAAATTGCTAGACTTAAGGGAAAAAAACACATTTCAACGGATTCCATTAGGGGGAACAAAGACGATAATGGAGATAAGCATGTGCATCATGATATTGTTGTCCTTCACGACAATGATTTAATTGGTATCGACGACTGCAAAACAATGAGGAAGAATTCAACTTACAAGCGTAGCAGTGTTTATGATATTTTAACTGAGTCCGATCAAAACAAAGTGGAATACCTAGCCGAATATTTTCCGTTAGAGTGAGAATTAATCTATTTGCTCGCAACGTTAAGACAAACATTATTTTTTTTATATACTAATAAAATATCATGGTACAGGCACACCTTGTGGGATGGCAAAAACTCCAACTCGGATGAACATATTGATCTGGAAGATATTATCATATTAATGGAGGGTAAATCAATCACCGGAACAGTAAGTATTCACCCCTTTTTGTTGTCGCCGTTTCATTATTTTTTGGCATATATTGTCTGGACAATGCAATTTTCATTGTCATACTGGGGTGGCATTTATTTATTGCAGTTTTTTTAAACTCCGTAATTTGTTGTCTCTGAAGCACTTACAATTTATATTTTTTTTATGCAAACGTAGATTATTGACGCTTGCACATACTTGTTGACGAGGCAACAAGAAGAAGGGTGTTTTACAAAAAAACTTCAATCCCAAATGTTGCGGCTGTAGTCTGATATTCCCTAGTTTATTGTTGGTATGATTTAAACATGCTTACATAGTCTTGCCAAATCATAAAACAACTCCTACTTGCATTACAATTTCAAAATTTGTGTTTACAGAAATGCATACGGATGTCCGTAAAACCATTGGAAATGTTGGAGCACTTTCTTGTTGGAAAAAATGTCGGTGAGTATCGGTACATTATTTTTCCGCTAAACTCAGAAAAAGGTCCGATAGATAAATACCCCCACTGGACATTGTTGGTGTATGATAAAAATATAAGCTCATGGAAGCACTTCAACTCGTTTCGTCCAAGGAAGAAACGTAAAGATCAATACTTTGTTGATGTTGAGGACATGATTACGTTCCTAGAGAGCGTGGATGACAAACAGAATTTGGGGATTATAGTAGGAGCCGACGCCGATTTTGTTTCAACATCGCCGCAACAGAAACCAAAATCGGTTGATTGTAGGATGTTTGTCTTGTATATTGCAAAACAATTCTGCATGCAACGGCCGTTAGTGAAAAAAAATTGCAGAAGCTGGGATCGTTGAACTCCGAAAAACTTTTGTTCATCTCTTCTTGAACGATGAAGACACTATTGATTTTGATTACAAAAAAAAAAAAAAAAACAAGACATTTACTTTGTGTTTTGCAGAACTATGTTTTTAAGTTGTGGCATTGAACTTTTGCAGGATATTGATATGAAATATAATCTAATATATTTCAGACTTAGACGCTATCTTGTGTATTGGTTTTGCTGGTGAATTTGTAAAATATTCTGTAGTTCAGTAATTAGTTACAAAAACAATATATTTGAAGTTGGTTTTGTTTTATTCTGCTGTTATATTTTGCATTTTGCCGTTAAAATTTTAATGCAAAAATTAAATGCAAAGTGCAAATGATACAATTTTGTTCATAAAAAATAGCGAAGTGCAAATGATACGATTTTGTTTTGCTTTATTCTAATGGTATAGTTTGCATTTTTATGTTACAGTTCATATGAAAAATCAAAAGTACACAATGGTAACAAAAATTTATTCTCAATGTTTGAATTTACCCTCATCGTTTGGGCTCTATGGCATAATAAATGTCGTTTTCCTGAAGAAAAAAAAACAATCACAGAACCCCGAAATAACAAACAAAATACATCATATAGACAAAAAGGGCAAATAATCCCCGGAAATAAACTAGGGTCCAAAATAATGTGGTAGAAACAAAAAAAAAAAAAAAAAAATCCCCCCCGCAAAAAAAAAAAAAAAAAAAAAAAACAAAGGTGCAACGACATAATAAATGCATACAAACAAAAAAAAACCCAAATAAATACACGAATTACATTTGTTTCGTGCACGACTTCCTACTATGGTTTCCGAGTTCATTACATCGTCCACACTTAATTTTCCTCTTTATCTTCTCTCCAGTAGACGGTATCCTCTTTTTTTTTGGTCTTCCATGTCGAGATTTAAATTCAGGTGGGCCAACACAAATTTCCTTTTCGTTTGTACTGTGTCTAACAAACGGATAAATCGGGATTGCATAGCATTCCCTGTAATTTTCAGCATAAAAAAACTTGTCAATATAGTCATATGGTTATGTCGTCTCGTTCACCAATACACACACCGCATAAACACAAAGAAATCCAAAAATCTGCCATTCTCGACATGTGCAAGTTTTTTTGCGACAAGTCGACAACCATAAACGGGTTACTGGGAACTTCAAAAATATTGTCAGCGGCCTTCTCAGGCTTCCACGACCTGCCTTCAAGTTCAATATCTTGCAAAATTTTCTCTTTCTTAGGGCAGCACATAGATGACCAATTAGCTGCTTTATTTCTCCTCTTAGTCATCTGCTTCATTAATTTGCTTCTAATTGTGTCTATCATAGTCATAACTGGTAGGTCGCGCAACAGAAGAATTTGCGAATTCCAAGATTCCACGCCGTTCGAATACATTTCACCGTATATGTGCCCATCAAAATACGCATTCGCCCATTTATTATAAGGCAAGTCATTCAAGAATTTCACAACTTTGCTAGAACCAGTGGCCTTAAGCTTCTCGATCTTCTTATCAAAAGACGTCTTTGAGAATTCAAATGCGCATGATACAAATTGACCAACAATTGCCTCCCTATAACTAGTTGGAACCCCTTTAAATTTGTTGTTCAAATTATCAGTCAAATGTCTGAGGCAAAATGAGTGAAAACAATCTGGAAACACGTTCTTAACGCCTTTTAGAATGCCATGTTGCCGATCAAAAATAAACGTAAAGATACGATCCTGGTTAATAGCCTCCTTTAACAATGTTAAGAACCAAAACCAGTTATCATCATTCTCCTCATGAACTATAGCAAATGCGATAGGGGAAAGTCCTGTAAAAAAATTATCCAAAAAAATTGCAAAAATTAAGAACTAAATCATAATTTTGCTATTATAATTTGCATTTTGATCTCAACAAAATTAATGATTTGCATTTTTCATTTTTTCGTTTCATGTTCTGCGTACTAACCATTAGCAAACAACAACATCATTGGAAACAAATCATTGACAACCAGAAAAAATACAAGATTATGATAAATTAAAATATTGCTATTGTAATTTGCATTTTGGTACCGCCAAAATTATTGATTTGCATTTTGCAATATACATTTTTTCAATTTTTCCTTTCGTCTTCTGCATCCTAAACATTGACAGCTTAAACAAATATTGTCATCTTAAAAAAACTAAAAAACATTTGTAAACGATACAATCACTAACCATTATTAGCGTCTTTTGACACAGCGCTAAGAAGAATACCGTCGCATTTTCCCTTCAGAAACTTTCCATCGATGAAAGTTCCCTTCAATACCGTCGCATTTTCCCTTCATGATCATAAGTGAATATGTATGTTGTAATGACTGAAATTCTATTAGTTTGTGATGCAGGGAAAGAAGAATGTCTGAAATATAAAGTTGATTGCGAGTTTTAGTGAGAGATAATGAATTAAAGCGCGATGAATCCATGCATGAAGACAACCTTTCTCATCATTTGAGAAAGATACAGTGGCAACGAATTTAAAGTTGTTGCCAATATATTTAGTTTGCGCAACGAATTCATGTCGTTGGCAAATATTTTTCGTTGCCTATACATTTAGAATGTACAATGAATATATTTTGTTGGCAAATATATCGTGC